CGCCGGACAGGCCACGGCAGGGCGCGGTGCGGTGCCTCGCCGTTAGTTTAGAAGCAGCCCTGTAGCAGCACCCTTCTCAGGTGAGGGCTCTGTTGCATACGGAAAAAGGCCGCTGCGCTTCGGCGGGACTCGTGATTCTGTGCCCGAAGACGGGAAAAAACGGGGAGCTGCTTCAGGAGGCAAACGCGACCTCTCCTCCCTGCTCCCTCCAGTCGGTCAGTTATTCTCAAAACTGCCGGAGCTGAAGAAAAATTTGGAAAGTACTTGTAAAACACGTTGAAGGCAAGACATTGCGGGTTTGATTTTTTCTGCGTTGCAGTAGGACTTGCAGGTCTGAGAGGTGTTTCTTCTCTCAGACTGCAGCAAGATGTTGTGATCTCATTTCCCAGTATCTTCTATATCTTCTTTATCTTCTCTTTTTTTTTTCCTTTCCGCCTCCTAAAAGTCATAACGCTGCAACAGCTGATGTTTGAAAGATGGTATGTGTGTATACTCTTACCAAGTAATGAATGAGGTTATTTTAGATGACAAGGCAAATAAAGTGCAAATATTTATCTTCAAGGAGTCAAGGGAGGAAGAATGTAGGCTGGAAATACTTTGTGATAGGCTAAGATAGGTGGGTGGTCTGTATCTCCTCCTCCTTTTTTCTTTTTTTTTTTTTTCCCCCTTCTTCCCTCTAACAGAGAATTGGAGTAGGATTTTGCAAGAAAAGCATCATCCTGGCCATGACCAAGACTAATTAAATTGTAAATCCATATTGAAACAAGTACAGTGATTTTTAAAGATTTCACTAGAAATTGCCCTTTGAGCCCCACTGGCTGAGAATTTTTCAAATCTAAGTAATCCCTTCTCAGCTTTGCTGCATTTGAATGATGTTGGGAGAACAGTATGTGTCCGAGTTATATGAGAATTTGGACCTCAAGCATGAGCTACTTAAAGAGTTCATGCTCGTTACTGGTTGGCCTTGCATGACACTGCAAACCTTTGTGTGGCTTCTTTGTACTAATTTGTCCCATACAGGTGGTGATAGCACCACTTCTGTAAGCAGTGAAGTGTAGGAGAAAGTTACAGTTTATTTAACTTCAGTAACTACATTTCAAATTCTTCCTTATAACAAGCTTGAAATTCTTATAGGTTAATTCCAGAGATATGGAAAATTTTCCTCTCTTTGTATGTGAAGTTTTTCTTTCTTATATGTTAGGAACAAGTGACCATAGGGTAACCTTTCTTGGAAATAAAAATGGGCTTAAATCGTTGAGATTCAGCATGGCATGTGGACCTGTTCAGATGCAAATACAAATTTATATGTTTTGCTTTATTATGCTTTATTTTAGGAAATGCTGGTCTCCTTAAGCACAATCACTGTTGCAGTACAGTTGTGTGAGATTTAACTGCTTTGGAAAGGCTTTCCAAAGAAGTAATATGGAACTCTGAGAAATCTCATATGCTTTTTAGAAGTAATGTCTGAATCATTGACTGCAGCGCAAGCCATTTTGTTTCAGTGCTTGTGATTGACACTGAGGTGATATTCAAAAAGTAACTGTAAGATGTGTAACACATGATATGCTGTTTGAAGTGTCTTTAACCAATAATGGTTGTTAGTGATTATTAAAGACAAGGTGGTTTTTATGTTACTAATGAGACAAATTGCCAGGTGAAATTCTATATCTGTGATTGTAATTTGCTTCCCTAAACACAGGAGGCAAGTTTGTGTATTTTTATCTAAAAAACCCTCTTTTTCATAGGAACAGTTAATATCTCTTTTCTTTTCCTGTGGCCCAGAACAGAAAAGAAAGACAAATGCTTAATTTCTGTCACTTTGTAGTGAAAATGAAACAAATAATTCTTCCTTTTACTTCTAAAAATTCCCCTTTTCTAGGTTTTCAGGAGTTCAGATTTATAGCAGCTTTACATTGTCACTTGTCTTCAAGTCATGTCATGTTGCCAGTAAAAACTAGCTTTCATCTATAGCCATGCTGTTTGTTTGCTTACAATGTAAATATTTCTGTGGTTTTGCTGCAGCCAGTAATGGATTGCCACTGACAAGGGGGTTTTGTTTGTTTGCTTCGGGAACAAGCTTGTTTTGTTTTGTCTTTGGTTTTTAAATGAATGGGTTTCTTTCCCACTGAAAAGAAGAGGTAGATATCCATTGCAAAGTTTTCTTAGCAAATGGCAAACAGTGAAAAAACAGTGATATTGTATGTGCTTCTTAATTGTGTTACAGTTTTTGAAGCTTGATTTTGATGAATCATAAGCATTGCAGAGACACCATGATAAAGTATTTGTTTAGCTCTTGGCCTCTCTGAAATATGACCAAAAAATCCTGTTATTTTTGATTTGTTAAGACTAAGACAACCACATTCTAGAAAGACAAAGCATGGTAGCATCTTCTCCTTGCTACCAGCGTAACCAAATTTGGATTGATCATCTAGAGGTAAAGGTTTCTGTTTCAGTTTGATCTCAGTTGCTGTGGTGATATTGATATAGTAACATATAATAATGACTGTAATGATGAACCTAGGCCTGAGTGAAATCGGGAGCTGAGAACACTGAGGACCTGGATTCCATTTAATACGTGCCTGTCACTAGAATTGTGACACTGGTTGCAGTGGCTGCATATGACAGACCTCATTATCATGGAGTGTTTATTATTCTCTGTTTCTGCGACTGGTGGCTTTGGAACTCCAACCTTCTTGCTAGTCTACCAACATAGACCAGTTCAGGCTTTTCAACACTCATGACAGAGAAACATTTGTTCCACATGAAAGAAAAATGTGTTCAGGTTGTTATAAAAGATGAAAAATGGAAATAATACTTTATCCTAAATTACAGTGATGAAAAAAACACCCTAAAATTGGAAGCAAGATTGACTTATTTGAACTAGATTTCCATTAATCCTGTTCACTCCTTTTGGACAAAGCCATAAGAAGGAATGTTGATGGTCGAAGATTTCACTGTTGGAAGAAAGGAATATCTTCAGCAGCAGTTTGGTTAGGATAGAATTAAGATTGTTTATGGAATGTTTGTGGGTTATACTATGTCACTTCTGTCCTATGATGCAGGTCCTTAGTAACACTACTGTTACTTTCCCAGTGCTTTCCTACATGTTTTGGATTCAGTAAGGAGAAGAGCGTAACAATAGGGGGAAAATACAGACTGTGCAAAGGACTTCTGGTCTCTTACCATGCTATTTTAGCCTTACTTGGCTCTATGGGCCAACAACTGATTTTCTGCACTGGAAGAGAAGAAGGAAATAGAAGTTAACAAGTATCTCCATATATTATACTGAAACAAGTGTAATACTTTCTCACATTAATACTTTCCTAATATCACTTTGTCATGTAGCTAAGCTTTTTGTTGCCTCAAGAAAGAAATGTGTTCGGATTTATGAGAATCAGTGATAGGAGAGTCTCAGTCTTAGGAAGTAATTTCTCATATGACAATGATTGAAAGAAGACTAAGATAATGGTAGGCAACACTGAAATGACTTCATAACCTCTGGCACCTCTGTTTCAGAGTCCCCTTTGAAATGTGGAAAATGGCATTACTCATCTCGAGTTGATGCCTTAAGCTCTGACCTGTCTTAAAATGAACAAACAATTAAAAAACCAAAAAAACTCCCCACAGGTCCCCCTCCCCCATGCACTTGGAAATGTGGCTGTAGCCCAACAATTGTTGAGAACAGCAGAACTAGAACTTTTAAAAAGCTCATTCTCTATACCTTAAATAACATGGGAGCTATTGCATAACAAAGAAGCCATATTATGTGCCTGGATTAGAAGTGGCGTAATATTGAACGTGAAAGTTTAGATTGACCTCTGAGTGATACAGTTGAGATAGGGATGTTTGCAGTAACACACAAGTCTATCATTTCAGCGAATCTGTCATTACTTTGTCATTTGTTTTGTATAATGTACTTCAGTGCTTTCTAGTTTCATGTTGTAACTTACAGCTGGAGAAGAATTTAATTTGAATTTTGTTATCCGTAGATAAGCCATGTCTGTTCTAGCTGGTGAAACTGTGGAGGACCTGCCTGTGCGAGATGTAGGTCTAAGTCCAGCCCGAACTGTAGGTTTGTACCAGCTGCTATTTATTACAGTTACACACTTTGATCAGTGACTTATTTAGTTTCTTTCTAAAAATGTTTCTGACATTCCTACTGACAAAATTAAGTTCAAATACCATTCAGAATCTGGGTTAAATTCTCAAAGATACCGTGACCAATTCTTTGTTCATGTTGCTTGTTATAAGAGGAGAGTTGCTGGGAGATGTGAAAAAAAAAAAAAAAGGAAATCTTGTTGAGCTATAATGTTCATCATTCCAGGAGAAAAGGACTTTTTTGATGTATTGAGCACCAGGCCAGACTCATTTAACAAAATGGGAACTAAAATTACTTTGCAATTTTTGATACGCTACTCAGCTGCTATTAGGATGAAACTACTGGTTTTAGTCTTGTAGCTGAGTAAATTTACAGAATTACGAGATAATCTTTTCAAGCTTCAGAAGAAATGAAGCTAACTGTGAAACATGTGAAAGCATCTCTGTGATAACGATGATCTTAATTTTTTTTTAGTAGTATACTGAACAGTATCTTGCTACTTGGTAAACTATTTCCTTTGTGTTGTCTAGTAGGTAATGGGTTTGCTCTGTCATTTAAATTACTTTTTTTCATCTGTAAGAGGGAGGAAAAAAGGAAGTGGTTAATATGCCAATAAATCTGAAAAAAAATGATCAAAAGACTCACACAAGTGTAAAATATCAAATTACTTGAAAACTTATTTTTCAGTATTTCAAAATGAGTTAGACTTTGGATGACATGCTGTTGAATGTATCCAAGGTAATTTAAAGTTGTCTTTGGTTAGAATCATCAACTACACAGAATGTGAAAGCTCGACAAGTTGTATCTCGAATCAGTCGGGAGGAACTGGAGGACAGGTTTCTTCGCTTACATCGTGAGAACATCTTACTCAAAGACCATGCAAATAAGCAAGAGGAGAAGATTAAAAGGTATGGGGCTTAATGTTTTATTTTGTCTTACAGCGACAATTTTGGCCTTTAAAGCATTATTGACAAATTTAAAATGTTGATTTCTCTCTGAGCACTTTTTAAAGCAGTACCAAAAGTCATTGTTGGGAATTAATTTTTTGTGTTGTCTGGTTGTCTCTGTGGTATGTGGGATTATTATTGTAGTGGACAGCATTAGGTCTCTGTCTTGAGAGGGCCACCACTGCCCACCACTTTGGAGTTGGTACCCTAGGTTCAGAGCTATGCCGTCTTGACTATAAATGTAGCAGTTATTCTGGGAACTGAAGAGGAGGTTCTAGAAGTCTAATTAATCACCAGGAATTTCATCCTGGAACCAAAGCGGCCTAGACAGTGAGATTCTGCTTCTCCTTTGTCCTTCTCTGTCTTCCAAGAAGTTGGCTAGCATCTAATCTTTCATTGTCTAGTTAACCCTAAAGTATCCTTATAATTATGATCAGGTCTCCTTCATTCAGAGTGTTAACTTTTTTGAAGAAGTTTCAAGTAGCACAGGGAGCACAGTACCCAGACACATGCAAAGCAACTTTCGGGTTATTATTAAACTTAGAGCTGTTCTGGCAAACCAATCTGCACTCACCAAAAATGTTCATGCTATTCCAGTATTCCAGGAGGGTGAATTCATCCAAAAGCACTGTGATTCTGTGTTCATATTGCAATGTATCTAAGCTAATAAAATCTTGCTGCATCTAAGCTGGCCTCTGGTCAGAAGCTAACCAATTCATGAAGGGCCATCTGAAGATACTGCCTCTGCAGATGGGGCTATTTCATACTTTTCTAAAGGATGTCCAAAACATTCTTTGCTTTTGACTCAGTACTCAGTGAGTCAGGATCAAACTGACCAGCATGCCATAACATCCTTCTGTCAGGCTTCTGTCAAATACAAGATGGTGGAACAAATTAATTGTTGGCTTATTCTAAATGGCATTTCCTGTGTCTAGTGGATGACTTATAAAATGCACTCGTCATCTACTTAGCTAAAATCACTCAGAATGTCCAAATTGGAATACCTGAATTAATGTTTTAAGGCACAGAAAGCATAAAATACAGTGTTTGTCTAGATTGCCAGAGAAAAATCCTAAATCCTCAGTCTAAATTCCTTTCCCAGCATCCTTCATGCCAAAACCCTTGTAACTACAAGTTTGGAATGAATTTGCAATAGGAACACATTGGGAGGGGAGGGGGTGGCGAGGGGTAAATCAGCTTACAGGCAAGTAACATTCTATGACATCCAAAAGTTATTATGGGTTTTTTTTGTTTCACTTTTGTTCTTTTAAGCAGAAGCTTCTGTCCACATGTATACAGAAATAAAACAAGCCCCTTTAAACAAATGAAGTGTGTCCTTATTTTCAGTTTTCTTTCTGGGCCTGCAAAAATAGATTCCCTGTAAACTAGATGCAGGTCTTGAAGATGTGCGACCAATTTTGTAAAGTCTTGAACTTGTGTCTCTCATCAAAGCCACCTTTTCTTTCTTTATATGCCAAGTTTTTTCCATTCACTGCTGGGTATGTTTTCTGTTCTTGTATATTACATCACCCCCATGTGCCCTCTCTGCCTTTTGCTCTAGCTTACCAATGTTTATCAAAACTAAAGCAAATCAAAGGTACAACTCTTGAGATGCCAAAAGCAAAGTTTTTATCCTTTTAAAGACGGATGAAAACCGTACCCTCTGTATCTGATTACATTCTTCAGCTAACTGTTCCTTCTCTGAAGCATGTTGGTAATATTTACTAAGTATAAAATTGAGTATGGTAATGAGACTATTAAGTGTCTTTTTCTGGGGTACTTTCTGAAATATGTCCACCTATATATTTTAGTCACTTTAGGACTGAAATATGTATTTAAACCTTAAAATGCTAGAAACTATATCTCATTGGAATATTGCTTATTATTAGCATTCTTTCAATAGTTAAATGTTCTGTGGAATTGTAGCTTTTACAGTTTGCCCCACCACATCCCAAACCTGTAACTTTATTTAACAGCATGCAGAGGTTCCTATATAAGCTCATGCGTTAAAAATTACATTTAAGCGGCATATGGAGTAAATGTGTCCTCCCTTTACTAACCTTAAATGATAAGCCTTAGGAAACTGTTATTTGTCAGTGCTATAAAGCAGATTGCTGCACAGTGGTTTCAATTATCTTCAAAGAGTTCTTCACAGGCAGTAATAGTTATATCAAAACCTGAAATTTATTATTCAGGTTCTATGCTGAAGTCTTCACAGTGATTATGTTCCTTTCAACAGAATGCTTTTTATGCTGACTTTTCACATTCTTTTTCATCTTTTTTTATTGTTTTCCCCAGAATGGCCACCAAGTTAACGCGGCTTGTTAATGACATAAAAAAGTCGGAGCAGGCTGGTGGCGGCCCCAAGCGGCTGGGCCAGGCTGTGGAGCTGGAAGAAATGATTGAGCGCTTGCAGGAGAGGGTTCGTGAGCTCGAGAAGCAAAACGAGAGCCTGCGCAGCAAACTCATTTCAACGAAACAGCAGCTCCAGATTCAAGGCCATAGGCCGTGTCCGTACCGTTACGTCCAGTCCCGTATTGACACTGGTCTCAAAAAAGCGAGCGAGGCTGCGGGCGTGCCGGAGCACGCCAAGAAAGGTATCATTCACCTTCACTGGCAGCAGCGGTTTGCAGCGGTGCTGCTCGTTACTGCATCACTGCACCAAGTGCATCCTCTTTTCTGTTCATCAGTGGGCGATAGTAGCTGTAGGCAGAGAGATTGCTTTCCCCACTTTTCTTGTGTTCATCACAGTCATAATAATGTGTTTGCCCTGGACGTCCTGATTTTGAGAATCCACAGTGATAGGGGCAAAACAAAAGTTCATATTTGAAAATAAAGTAGTTAACAAGAAGTTTTCAAATAGTTACAATCATGAGACTTTCTTAGTATATCTTTACATGTTGAAAGCTTCTAAAAGTAATATATGAAAAAGTTTAGTGTTCTGTTATAACAAAGTTTTACATCTGTAGTTTGTTTGCATATGTTTCCTTTTTTAATTTCCAGGTTTGTTCTAGTCTCTTGTTATATATGTCCACAACACTACTGAGTTGAAGAAATCTGTTACATGTGTGAACTTTCAAAAGCAAATAACACAGTGCAACCATCTTTAATGAGGCAGTTTTTGTTGTCAAGACTTAGTGCTCAAGACAGTCTCAGTCTTTTATTTATGGTAGCTACATTTGGAAATCATAATTTAAAACCTTTCTATTTTTATGTGAACATTTGTAGAAGTTGGTATACTCACACACTGTATAGGTAATGTGGTTTTAAATAAAAAAAGATAGCTATGGCTGTGATTCAATTGTCTCCTTAACTTTTGCAAATGATGCGTCAGGATGGTTTTGTTTTTTCTCCATCTCACCTCCAACTGGTCTGTATGTTGGTTACATTGATTATTTGGGTATGTGAAAACAAACTCGTAACATGAACACAGTAGTACTATTTTCTGTAGTATTAATTAGCATAGGATGTTTTATGTTTTTCTATTGCATGTTTTCTCACCCTGCCCTTTTGATTCATGATGATCAACCTAGCAGTCTGGTGTCAGGTATGTCCCTCCTGTCTTTAAAGACTGCTGGGCTCTTGGATTGCTCTGTGAAACCATGAGGCTGAGTCTCAAAACATCCTCAGTGCATATCAGAAGATATTCTGAGCAATAATCCCAAAATAAAATGCCCAGAAAAACTGAGGAAAGCTTCCCAGTCTTCAGGATATGAAGTGGCAAGAAGAATCCACAAATACTAAGTACACCTTACTGTATCTGATTTGCATTTGGCTGATTTACAAATACCACAGCAAGTCAGTCAACATGTGGTCAGGTATGAATGTTCACCAGATACTCACTGGTTTCTCTCCTTACTTTCCTTATTTAGCACAGCCATAGATACATCGTGGTTTGAACAGAAATTAATAAAATCTACTCTAAGCATATATATGCGTATATGTATATAGCACAATTGTCAATACCTTAAAATGATACTTAAAGATCAAAATTCAAGATATACAAAATAAATCAAGTTAACTAAACACAGAAGCTAAGGAGGTAGTTTTTTTTCTCAGTCCTTTTGGGAACCTGCTGGTATAGTTGTACTTTGAACCGAAATGACTCAATTTCAGGGACTGTGGGATGGCAGCCTAATATGCTGTGTTTGAAATGTAATGCATAGTTTGTCCCACCTCAAGAATTCATTCATTTCTTCTTGCTGAAGAAAAAGAAGTAGGAGAAACAAAGAGATTTGGAGAAACCATTGCTTTTGCTCCTGAACTAGAAATTCTTCCTAAGTAATTACTCACTTTTCTTCACCAGGGACCATGCTACCAAAGAACATAAGGAAATTATCTGCATTGCTGCTAAAAATGATCCTATGTTTGCTTCTCTAGGTGAATGACACACATGATGGGATAAAGATAGCACTATCAGAGAAAACGTGGTTATTAATTGATGTTCCTGTTTAATAATATTGGTATTGTTCTTTTTGAAGAGTCTGTTCTCTGTCTTTAAAAGAAAAACCATCTAAGAAAAACATTTCAAGACACATTTTTAAAATTTCTCTTGGCAGTGCATACTGTAATGCCCATAGTTCAAATTTCACAAAAGCTAGGTTGTGGACGCTTTGAGTATCTCTTACCTTGTGAATTTGATATAAAAATTTTTTTGACACTAATACAGGAGTTAAGAATTTCTACTGTATAAAGATTGTTGTTTTCTTAAATGCTTTTTCTTTCAATATGACAAGATTTTTTTATCTCCTTTGTTTTCAGGAATGAGAGTTCAGGATTTAGAAGCGAAATCACCTAGCCTTGTACTCCCAATATATGAGCAGAGTCTGCTTGAGGATTCAAAGGCCGAAATAAGAAATTTGTAAGATTATTTTTTTTTAAATTTTTGTCATTATAATTTTTAAAACTTGTGGTTTGCCTGAAGAAAAAAAAAATAGTTTTTTCAGAAGTTTTCACTTAAGAAAGTAAAGAGAAGTTGTTGGATTTGACAACAGTTAACACTGGTAACAATGCAGAAGTGTTTTATGTAAGGAAAGGATTGGATTAGGGATTTAGAATGCAAAATGTAGGTATGTAAGGTTTTGGCTGGAAGCTAAAATTGATCTTCGTTGGTGAGCTGCTCCTTTTGCTAGGATGCAGTGCTGCCCAGCTGCCTACTAGACAAAACTGACAAAAACAGAACAAACCTTAGCAGCAAAACTATTGCTAACGTGACTCCTAAAACGTGTGGGGTAACCCATGCAAATGGTGACTGCCATTTAAGCTTTGTTTCTAGAGGTGGTCAGATTTCATGGATAAGTTGCAAAAAGCATAGTTTGGGGTGGTAATGTGAAATGATTTTGATTTGCTTCTGCATTTTGAAAGGGTTTGTAGTCCAGTTGCACATTTTAACTGAAATTGAGGCTCAGTAAACTGGATAACATCCTTAATGTAGAGACTGCATGAGTGCAGAGAGGTGTTATATAGGGTAGAGAAAAGATAGTTAACATTTAAATTAAAGATATTGAGATCTGATCAGAACATTTTTCTTCTCTAAAGTAGCTCGTTGCATTTGATAAAGTGTTTATTTGTTGTACTATTTATAGCTCTTCATGTGGTGACATCTAATTATTTTCATAGTAAGTTGAACTCTGTTGTGATGCATGACATTAAGAAATACAAAGTTTGCTGACAACTTTTAAAATTATTACTTGGTTTTGGAATGTAAGGTACTTGTACTTGCAGGGAGGCTGTGATTGAGTCACAAAGGGAACACATTGAGGAACTAGAACATACCCGAGACCTACTTAGGAGTCAGCTAAGCAGGAAAGAAAAAGAAATGGAAGAATCCATCCTACAGCTGAAAGAGCAAGGAACAGCAAGCCAAAGGTATTGTGACAAATGGAAATCTCCATGGTGGAAGCATTAAAAGTGCTTTGTCATCTTTATATATGTTCATGAGGAATGAGGACTCACAATAGCTGTGAAAATGACATGGCCTCTTAAGAAGTATGTGCTTTGTTCATTTTTTTCCCCTTTGGTTGAACAAAGTCATAAAATATTTTACCAAATAGCAATAGATAATTCTAAACAAGGAGATGTCTATGATAATAGGTTATGATTTTTTTTTTCCAAATAAACAAAAGCTCTTAATTACTATTTTAAAGAATTCATTTCCAGCTGTTTGAACTTCAGTTGTATATGAACTCATTAAATGTTAATCATCTATTGTTTCTTCAATATTTTCTGCTTAGAAAACTTTTGATATAAGTTCATAGTGGGTAATTTAATGTTCATCAATACTCACTGATAATTTGAAGTCTACAAATAGAAAAATAATGGCACTATAAGAGTAGATTATCAAATTTTGAAGGAATATGGCATAACTGTGCAGTGAAACAGTCAAACATGCTTGTGGAATATCTTTCACAATAAAGCCTTTATTAGTTCACTCTCTTTTCTTTCTCTTTCTTCTTTCACTATTACAAAAATATGTGCCAAATTATATAACATTGCATATATTTTCCCTCTTGGCTGTTTCCATTTCAGGCTGTTACTTTTAACTGTATTAAGGATCTAATATGGCATAATCCTGCGTTCCTTACTCATTTGATTTCAGTGAAAGCTCTGCTTGCATGAGAAATATGTGGTCAAGTTCTTTAACTGCCTCTCAAGGGAGGAACCCCATTATTATGTGTGAGCTTTCTTTTGCGCATCACTGGTGCTACATAAGTAATATATCAAAATGTTTGTTATTAAATTATTCACAAAGTCACAAGTCTCCCCTATTCAGAATTCCCATTATATAGTTTAAATAGGTTAAAGAAGTTGTTATCATAACTTCTCAGTCTGTGCTTACAGTGAATGCAGGAAATATTTAAAATACTTTTTTCTTTGTTTGGAAAGAATCTGATAGAGATCTCAAAGAACTTGTTTCATTTTTCTATAGATAAACACTGTTCATTAAGTATAGCAGGCAGAAACTGAATGTAACATCTAAATTCCATGTCTACTGCTGTATTTCTGTGAAATTTTTAAGAAATTCTGAAGTAAGAGTACACTTAAAATTCAGGCTATAGAAAGTAGTGCAGATGGTTATTTATGTTTATCAAATGACTTAGATACAATCCATGATTATTTGACCAAAGCTACTGTTGGTGAATTCATGTTTATAGGTCTGGAAGTGTTTCCTTTATAGCCTATTTTTTGTTTGAAACCTGATAAAAGATAGGTGATGTATTTAAGAGTTAGTGTTTAGTTAAAGACAATGGGAAAGAAATTCAAAAGTGTCCACTAGTGTCTACCTAGAATAGTGTGTGTTCTGTGAGTTTGCCACTACAATACTTTATGGAAGGGTGTCAATCCCCACGGTTGTCAAGTTATGTTTTTTTATCCTGACTGAACCAGAGCCTGAGCTTAGCTGGTGTACTGGTGTGTCCAGGTTTCATTGTAACCATAGGTACCTATCCATAATCATTAGCTTTCTTTCTTGGAAATCTTGTAGCCATCTAGTACAGTCTGTATTAGTTGCTTTATTACAACAAGATTATATGTAATACTTTTTAAATCTTCTTTCCATTAGCAAAGACACTGTCAATAGTGGAATACTGGAGGAAAGAATGGAAATTTAGGTGACTGATAAGGTTATCTAGTTTCATTTGTGTAGCTTATGTCTATGAATTTTGGTACAATTGACAGCTTTTTCTTTTGTTTTGCAAGAATAAACTTGGCTGTCATGTAGTTACGTCACAAGCCAAAGACTGTTAATCTGTTGCAATTCTTCAGGAGCTGTATGGTGCCAAAAGGACATAATAAATGTTCTTCCACCAGTCTTCATGTTGTAGTACCATTTGGTCTCGGGGTGATGTTAACAAAATTAGATTACTTTCAACGTCTGGGAAAATACTCTTTATTCTGCTACATGATTAAGAAATTCTTGTGACTGAAATAACTGTAGTTTTGAAGTAGTGAAGCAGGCACAGTTAACAGTTGTTCATCCATCAACAGCAGGGGAGGCAGATGCTAGTTATCTTGATTCCTATACCCACAGGAAACCCAGTAATACAGTTTCTGTGTAACAACACAACAGCCACATAACAAAGCTGCATTTATATGCAGAGTATTTTTTGAGTTTATTATTGTAACATGGCTGCAATCAATGTTTTTTTTTTCAATATTAAGAGTTTGGGGTTTGTTTCAGGAATATATAATTCTGATTTAAGTGAGAAACTTGGCTTGTGGGTTGTTGGACTAAGCGCATTTTCTCAAGTACGAAGTTTGACTGTTTGTCATTTAAAGATGGCCAAAGCCATAATAACTTCATGGATTGATGTCTATCACAGTACGCAAGTTAAAACATGGTCTGAACAATCCCATTTTGCAAACAGTTAGCTTCAGATAATTTAATTGCTCCATGATACTTTCTAGAAACATTTTTAGAACCACCCCAAAATCAATTTGTGAAGCAGGTATTTGGTATTTGCACGTTTGTGTGGGTTTTGGTGTTTGTTTTTTTTTGTTTGTTTGTTTTTTGTTTTTCTTTTTTGTGAAAAAAATTTGCCACTCAGTTTTTAAATTCTTTTGGCATTTTTTTTCTGCAACATGATTTTGGCATTAAACCTATGAAATTTATGGATTTTTGGACTGGAGTGTCATAGCTGATGCACTCATGATTTCTGTGTTTGCATTATATCATTGCAGACCTAGATTAAAATGTGGAGCATGTTAGCGAGAATGCATTATCTAAATGGTTTCAAGAGACTACAAGATGCATATGAATTTGCTATATCTTGTCTAATACATGTAAAAAAAAAAAAAAAATACCCTTACATTTGCATTTCCATACCTGATTTTTCAGATTTAACAAGTTTTTCTAAAGAAAATTACTTTCCATTTGCAGGTAGTTCTTTCATCAGGGAAACAGGTTTAAAATTTTATGTTGATATTTAAATAATCTTACTGACTTAGGTGCTAGAGTTACTGATGCCATATTAATGTTTTGCTTATTGCAAATATAGTATTAGTTAAAATGTAAAGGTGCTACTAGAGGGTAAACATTGTTGGGTGTATTTTTTCCTCTTTATGTCTGACTTCCTATAAGATATCAATAGAGGAAAGAATATTATGTATATCAGTATTTAATCCTGTTAGTCCCTAAGCCTTTCAAAATGAGGAGAGTGTTGCACAGATGTTCTGTTCCTTACTTCTCTGCTTGGGAGTCTATGTATATATCTTGGCCATTGATGTTTGTGACTGAGAACTATGAGCCTAGAAACCCTTTGTTTATTTTGCCAGACAGAGGTGATCCTGACAAGTATGGTCATGATGTTTTTTTTTGTACTTGCTTGTTTTTCTTGTTCTGAATGTGAATGGGGAAAGTTTGTGACCCACTGGACCACTTGATACAACAGTCAGGACACTCCAGGACTCGTCTGAGCGTTGTATCCATGGCTTGCTCACATGGAAGCAAAGACAAGATGCAAGGGATGTGATTTAATTAGATCTCAATTTTATTAGCTTAGCCATCTGGGATTTACTGGCATAAATTTGTACAGTGTGGGTCAAGATCCTTTCTTTAATCATTTCCTTCTGGTGTAGGTTGCTGTCAGTCCCCCATTCCCACACAGCTGGTTCCCAGCCTGTTAATGGGACCCCACTCTATGCTTTTAATCCAAATGATAAGAGGTCTGGAAAAGAGATTGTCTCTTTGGTGTACTTCAGACATTAACACCAAACATAATTCTTAGCTTTTTAAGGAGTCACTTTCTCCTAACTTCATTTTCAATTTCAGACTTCTTAACCCAGCTTTAAGATGATGTTTAGCATCCAAGGATAGCAATCATGTTCCTTATTTCTGCACTTGTGGTAGAAAGCATGCTAGAGCTCAGTCAGTGTGCCTCTTAAGTCAGGTTAATGCCTCAAAAGGCATATCAGTACCTTTTCTTTTTCCATCTTCTGCTCCAGGTCTACCTTCATGTCTGCAAGTTCTGTGACAGAATTTTTGGCTTTTTTTGGCAATACAGAAAAAAATCAATGAGCTAACTTAGCTTTATTGTTATGTGTTATTTTGTTATCCTTTGAGCAAAATACTAACTATTTAAGTGAAAGGTAGCATTGACTTGTGTATCAAATCTGTATATAACCCCTATTTTTAAGTTATATCAGAATGCCTGGGAAGATAGATATATCAGCTACTTGGGTAGGAGAAAGCTGTCTAGATAATCAATTTCTGTTGTAGTCTACTGTTTTGTGACTTCATTTATAGAAAAATTAATCTTTCTGCCAAGATCTTCTTCAGTTACCTTTCTTTGCCTTCCCCACAAAATCTGTGATAATTTTGTTCTTCAACAGCAAGCTCTTTGTCGTGTACCTAGATGCATTGGACATTTTAGACATGTTTTATTTAAGTAAGTGAAGTATTGTAGAAGTACTGTAGAGAAATAATTTTGTTGCTTCAGTCTATAATGAGAGCTGAGACTGTGATCCATGAAATGCACTAATAAATTAACTGCACATGCTTTCTGTGGCTAGAAACTTAATGAGATAAATACTCTTATAATTGTAAGAGTTTATATGATCTCAATACAACGAAATTTTTCACTTCTCAATTTGAATAATTTTCTTCATCATATCAGTACCCCAAACCTGCTTAAATCAAATGCTGTTTCATTCACTGTTGAAAAAATAGTTAATGTTGATTGTCAGGAGCCATGGGGTTTACATCTGTACATCATAAATTTCACTATCATCTGCTCCTTTTTCTACTTAAAAAGAAAAAAAAAAAAAAAGCCCCCTGCTTAAAAAAGAAGGGGGAAAAAGCCTTTGAAGGCATCAGAGCCTTTTGTTTGATGTGTGGAACAAGATTAATAAAAACGTGCCACTACATTAGCTTTTAAATAGTTAGCATGAGACAGTGCTGCTGTCTATACTCACCACAACTTTAATTTATACAGATAACATGTTTTAGACACATGATAGTTTTAGCATTGCATTAAGGATGTTTCTTGGGGATGATCTCAGGTTTGTGAGTGTTTATCTTCTGTGTAAAGACAATTAACTGGGCAATGCCAAAACAAAATAGGATTTGATATTTTACAGAGTAAAAGGCAAGTATTTCATGTACTCAGCTGGTTTACAGATGTGTAAGCTTTGTAGTCCATTTTCTTGCTCCAACATGGCATTGTGACAATTTGTCCAATATGTGTAAAACAGATAAGTATTGGAAGAGAAATAACCATTTCAAATGCTAAAGATTTATTCTGATTTTATCATATTTTATATTTATACAAATCAGGATTGGTTTCTCTTCCAGTGCTTTAAGAAGCTGTGAAATCGTGGGGTTTAGCTTTACTGTTTGAAGTAAGGGAGAACATTAAATAAATATTTATTGAAATTTTGAATTATTTAAAACATTGTTACTCTTAAACAGTACATTCTCAAATTAATCTTAGAATTGTAACAATATAGAACATCTACCTGAATGTTAAGTGATTTTCACGTAGCTAAGAGACAGTTGCGGCTTAATTGAACACCAGCCTTAAGGTGTTAGAGTATCAAGTGCTAAGTCACTTATTCTTAGCAATATTTAATAGGTTTAATCTCTAAGACCAAGCTCCATAAAATGGGAAATGATTGGCACCAAATGCTATAGAGGATGGGGTATAAATGAGTGGAAAACAAATAACCTCTTTAGTTATAGGATTGTTTGTTTTCTCTTCCTGTCATATGTAGTTTGTTAGAATAAACAAAGATCTATACCTGTCATTTGAAACTGCTATGTCATTGTGTGGTAGAATTTTTACCAAAATACTGTAATGTGGATCTTAGAAGAAGTTAATTTGGGTATTACACAGTAAATCTTCTCCCAGATGTGTTGTAGAAAGCCAATTTGCAGACGATTTCAACTTTTCAAAACAAAAATAATAAGCTAATTAATTTTGAATCCTTAAGCTCATGATGTATTTTTCTGCTACAATTTAGAAGGCTAAACATTCGGGACAACGTGGAAATGATCAAGGTCCATAAACAGCTGGTTGAGAAAAGCAGTGCTCTTTCAGCTATGGAAGGAAAACTCCTCCAGCTTCAAGAGGTAATTGCAGTTTGGTCAGTAACATTCCTTTACTCTTGTCACCTAGGCATGTGTAAATGGTAAATAAATATACAGAGTTCTTGATTCTGAGTCAGTGCAGAGTATGTGAAAATGCATCACGCCCAAACACCTAAATGCACCCAAGCTACTCCAAATGTGTAGGATCTTTTTAGTGTTAAATTTGTTGTGGGTTGTGTTGTTTTGTGGTGGGTTGTTTGTTTGTTTGTTTTAAAAAGGGTCTAGCAGATCTTGTCTGTAAATTCATCCTGGGCAGATTGTGGAGAATGAACTGAGTTAGCTAGCTATTGAAAGAGGTCACCGATTATTTAAAGAGAGGGCTTTAACTTTATCAGTCTTTAATATTGGGGAGTTTTGTCTGTTTAGAATCCTGATGTCAGGACTTAGCTTGTGTTCATAAATTCATGGGGATTTTTTTAGAGAGGTACTATAAATAATAGATTTTCTATATAAAGAAAGTCGCGTCATGAAAATACTACCAGAACATGCAACTGCGTGGTAGATTCGCTGTGTTTTAGTTACACAGCATTTTTCTGCTTCTTCCTGTATGTATTTGGAGAAGTGAATGTGCATACAGACCGAGGTAGTACAATAACTGAGAAATGGAAGAGGCCCTGTGAGTAGGAGTCTTACGTGCAGTACAACTTCAGAAAGTATCCTAGCCTTATGAGGTGGAAGCACTAGATATGCTTGTAAACACTTCTTATTTTAGGATGCTAAATAACTCATGTGGCATTAGATTTTTGCTCCATTCCTTTTTTCCTGTGTGTTTTTGCTTCTCAGTTTTGTTTTGCTTTGCTTCGCTCCCCTACTTTAGTGTAATGCTTGTATCTTCTCTGCCAAAACATCTCTTCTGTTAGTAGCTCAAATCTATTTTTACACAGGGTGAGCTATATAGCATGTAAATTCCAGGTGACACAGGTTTCACATGGCTTTTTTTGTTCTTAAATAGAAAGCCCAAAGTAAACTGTTTCATTTTAAATCATATGTGACTTTTTGGTACTCAATTGCAAACATCAGGTACTCAGACTTCTTTCTTTGCAGCAGCTAAGTAGAAACACGCACCGAGGATTCAAACTGGTGTTTGAAGAAATTGTTTCTGATATTTGCAAGGGAAGCTGCATTTTTTAAAAGGATGAGTGTTTTCTCATTTTTTTACAATATAATGGATACAATGGTTTAACTGTTCTCAATCATTTGAATGTTTGTAACATATCTGCTAAATGTGAATAACTAAAATCTAAAATTTCTAGTTTAGATGGCATCTAAAGTACTTATTTACATTTCATTTACTTTAAGCTTTTACCATTTGAAACCCATATAGTTACTTGATGTTCATCTTTGAACTTGAGTCAGCCCAAAATGTGAAACCACAGAACAATAAGAGCCCATAATCCTGCTCCATCTAATGAACAATAAAGTTGTGCTTTCTAACAAGCATTTACAGGACAGTTTTGTTGATAAAGAATTTTAATGTAGCCCTGTTGAATGAAGGAGTTGTGCATCCTGATTAGAAAAACAAAGGATCCCAAAACTGCTTGGATTATATATCTGATCCCATTGGGGTATTTATTTGCTTCACCTACAGACTGAACATTGAGGATTTTATGATTTGCAATATGAAATACACTAACCGATGCAACTACGATTTAAAATATTGTAGAGAATTAATTGTCTTGAAGCAGTACAATTTCACAACTGCAATTGACAACAGTTAGGATAATTTGTGGAGTATTTCTAGGAATATATATCCATTTTCTTCAAATTGGTTATTTCCAATTGAGAACAATATTGAGGCATGTTTCCCAAAGAAATAAAACTGCAGAATAGAAATATTTTTCAGAAGAATTTTATTTAATGAGGTGGTTCAGTAGAATAAATGTGATTGTTGAATTTTTTTTCAACTATTTTGGAATTTAAGGAAAGAAATGATGATGAAATGGCCTATGAAAGGTAGTTTTGCCAAGGTGGGTGTTTCGGGGTTTTTTCCTTGATATTTTGTGAGTTCAAGTGATACAAGTTAGTGAAATGGAAAAGAAATAAAGGAAAAAAATTGAAGCTGAGAGATTGGGAAGAAAAGATGAGTTCACTTGGACAGCTGGAAGGGTTAGAGACTGTAAGGATTCTGATTTTGAGAAGGAGGGAAAGAAATGTGGAGAGAAATGAGAAGAGTATAAATGAATGATTTTTAAGGTGTTATTTTTTGAAGTTATTGACATACAGTTCACAGAGAATAGAGCAAGAGAGGACTGTTAAAAACTGATGAGTGATAAACTTCACCATCTCTTTGACTGCTAATTTTTTTTATTTTCTGTGATATTTTAGTTACTGAGAAATTAGATATGAAAGACTGAAGGTCAGGTTCGTGATTTGGTTTTTCTCTGGGTTTTTTGTTTCTAGGATATTCAGACTGTATGTGAACCTAAACAATTTGGATGTAATTTCTCCATTTAACTATTCTGTAGGAAAATTACATGGAAAGAAGGAAGCTAAATTTTTTTCAGTCTGCAGTCATTAAACATTTTCTATACTCATACACATATTTGACATGAAGTTTCAAATAATGATTTTATTAAACAGGAGACTGGTGTTTGTGCTCTTTTGTTTCAAGTTATACTTTGTGATTTACATAGAAATTCTTAAAGAACGAGTCTTTATGAAAGCATTGTAGAATGTAGGCAGTATAGTATTAACCAATATCCTGGAAATAGAGGCTCTATCAGCATCTTCCCTTTAATGTTAAAATTGGTTAAATGTGCCTTAATATAATCCATTTAAGTAAATGAGCATGTAAAAGAAATCAGAAGTCCCTCATTAAATTACTACTAGCAGAGAAATAGAACAGAGTGTATGAGAATTATGAACAACCCTGGACTTTAGGCGTGCAGAC